CTATTCTAACTTGTATTACCAACCCAAATCCTTTTATGTCTCTCAACCTTATATACTTTATACCTCTTTTGTAAGTTTCTTTTCTGAATAGGGTAACAAGGAAAACTGTAACTATCAAGTCTTCGACTCCATCAGAGACCCAAGTATGGACTGGACATTGTGAATGTAATTCTTACCTGATATTTGTTCTTATTGTATATAGTTTTACTACGTTAGAGTTAAAACCTTCCCTTTTTATTTAGACAAAAAGGGGGAAATGTTGTATGATAGTTTGATTGCATCCTGAAAATGAAGTTTGTTTTGAATTTAAAAAAAGCATTCTATTACTATTTTTAAAAAAAGATTCAGAAAGTTAACAACTCAAAAGCTGCAAGAAGTCCCTGGAATTGACTAGCTGTACTTTGCTCCCTCCTTCTCTGTGCTTCTATAAACAGTATGGGCTGCTAAGAGAAATTCTCAGACCAGCCAAGCTGCCTGAAGAGGCTCAAACCAACTGAGCAGCCCAGAAAAGACACTCTCCTACACCCACTGAGCTGCCTGCAAGTTGTACAGTGTGCTCCAGATTTCCAGCTTTTGTGAGCTGTCACCCATGCTAGGGAAGACTTTGGTGATTCAGCTGTCTTTCAGTCATTTCTGTTCTTAGAATTAACTCCTCACCCATATTCCTATATGGAACCCCAATAAAACCAAGTTGCAACTTGGTGGTATCCTTAACCTTGGTCTGTCTTTGCTTTCCTATCTGCAGTGAATAGACATTTATCCATGTCTTCCCAGTAATAATGTCACACAACAGTACTCCATACAAAAGTTGGCTTTCTGGAAACTCTGAATGAGTAAGAAACTCCTTTTATTTTCATCAGTGTTTTGTACCACTCAAATGTATTAGATAATTGTTTCACTTTGTAATATGCCATTCAATTAAAGCGGCAATTCAAACTGACCTTGTAACCAAGATCTTTCATAACTCAGAATCCATTTAAACTCATCTGACCCTTTCCCCTCTAGTTCCAAACAAAAATTCTTACCGCACCCCCTTCTTCCCTTTCCCCGTTTTCCTCATGTATACCTCATATTCCATTTCCAAGTCCATACTATTGCCCACTGAGAAGCTATCACTGTAAGACAAGGTTAGTTTAACACATACCTCATGCAGAACCTTCTCATTCTCCTCTATTTTTCAAGGTTCCCAGCCCCATTACAAAGGGGAATTTGTTGCAATACATCTTAACTCATATATTGAGAACAGACAGGTATAAACCATCTATCTCTTAAAGTTCCTCAATGCCTGTTAGCATATGAAATGCTTCTTCCAATATAAACAAATTTGATTTACTTGCTTAAAACACTTTCTCCTCTTCCCACACACACACATTTTAATGAGACATGTCAAAAATAATGAGCAATATATTAAAAAATAAATGCAAAATTAAGATGGCTACAGGTTTGTTCTCAGGAGGTCCAGGAATAGATCCATGTTCCCCTGTGCTGCTTCAGATGCTATTCTGAGTTTACAAAAGGCTGGTCAGCTAGAATTCTCTCCTGGGGTGCCAAAGGCACCAAGAGAATACACACAGTTCCATAAATCACAGCAGACATCTCCTCCACACTCTTATTGCTCAGCAGTACCCCAAGGGCTCAAAGGCCTGCAAAGCCTTCCAAATTGACACTGCCTGTCATACCATGGTGTAATAGCCCAAATGGCTCAACAGAACCAGAAATGGCTGAGCAGGCTTCTGAAAGACAAACCAAGAACGAAATGGCAATTGCTAACAATGGCTCAAAAAGAATATATACAGCTCAAAGTGTTACTGAACTCAGGCTACCCCTACAAGCAATGCTCTGCCACTATCCTAGATAAGTAAATTCAAAGCACTGAATTAATTGTGAGAAGCCACAAACCAACAGGAAGGCAAACTGGGAGGTGTGCTAACTGGAGAAAGCTCACCAAGAGTCGGGCTTCCTCAAGAATCTGGAACATAATCCAAATTCTCATCTCCTTCACGAAGCAGAGTATAGGAAGATGGGGATGTCTTAGGGATAAAGTGACTCAAGCAACTGTATGGGACTCCTCAAACTTTCCTCCCCACCTGGGGTTAGCTTGATGACAAACTGAGTCTTCTCTCCCAGCCATGACTTCCCTAATTGTCATCAGACTTGTTAGGGTCACAGTCCCTAATAAACCAGCACTGGGCACTCAACCTCAACAGGCCAATGAAAGAGACAAATTCACAGTGGAAAGCAGAAAAAGGAGATTTGATCAGTGTGGCCACATTGGGAAGGGGAACAAAGAGGTCCAGTGACCCTCCCTCCCTAGTCCATCTTTGGGGTCCTGACTTGACACTTTCTGCTCGTAAAGAAAGTAGAACGTTTTTTCCTCACAGTAAAGCTAGTCAAACACTGGGCACAAGTACTATATATAATTCCATTTGCAGAAGGCTAACGTCAATAAGGCTTCGTAAATAATTTGGGGTTTCCAATATTTTACAATAACTCAACTTTGCCATCTTAGCATAAAAGCAGCCATGTAAATGGATAGTTGTTTTCCAGTAACATTTTACGTAAAACTAGGCACCTAGCTGGATTTGTTTGGTCCACTGGCTGTAGTAGTAGGTGAGCATCACTTAAGATAATTTCTAGAGAAAACTGTTTTTTTCTAGCCATAAAAAAATCTCTCTTGTGGCTCTTGATGACTAGCATCAGTGATCCTTCCAACACTTGAATATCTAGTTGAATATATTCTGTATAATATAGAAACCCTATTTGTTAAAAATTTGAGCTTCATAGGTAGTACTGCTAATCAAAAATTATTACCCTAGTAAATATGAAATAAAATGAGAGAAGGGTGGGAACAAGGTAGTAGTGGGCTCCCAGGAGATACTAATCACATAATAGAAAAGAAAGTAAAATCAAAATAACATTTTGCTTATAAGGTCCTTCACAGAAGATTAAACAAGAGAACTTGAAGCAGCTGTAAGAGGAAGAGTTGGGGTAACTAGCATAAATATGCCTTCATACCAAAACATGAAACATGCAGAAATAAAGCCACATTTTTACAGCCTAGTCCTCAAGTAGAAATACCACAAATAAATGCAATGTGATGGTTAATATTGTCAGTCACCTAAGAAGCAAACCTTTGGGCATGTCTGGGAGGAATTTTCTAGAGTGGGTTAATTGATGTGGGGGTACACTCTAAATGTATATGCTACCATTCCAAGCCTGGGGTCCCAGACTAACTAGGAGAAAATAAGCTGAACCATTTAAATTCATCTCTCCCTGTTTCCTAAACACAGATGTGATCAGCCGCTTCAATTCCCTCACCATGATAGACCAGATTCTGAAACTATGATCTCTGTAAGCCTTCCCTTCCTCAAGTTGCTTGAGGTATTTTGTTACAGCAGAGACAGAGACAAAGACAGAGACACTCAAACTGCAAACTGCTACCAGGAAATGGGGTCCTGCTGTGAGAAACCTCAACATGTGGTTTGTGGACTTTTAGAAATGGTTTTTAAAAGAAATGTGGAAAAGTCTACAACTTTGGGCAAAGCCCTTGAAAGCTGTAATACAGCAGAGTTTAATGGGCCATTCTGGTGGACGTTTATAAGACTAGAATACAAAGAAAAATGCACACATAGAGATTCACAAAGTCTCAGAGGAAAATAAAGACTCAATTAGGAACTAAACTAGAACTTATGCATATATTGTATTCTGGAAAAGAACATGGTTGTATTTGGTCCATGTCCTGAGAACTTCAGTAAAGCTGAATTCAAAGTTATGGACTAACTTGTTTGTCCGCAGAAATATAAAGACAGGACAGCATTTAGAATACATCAATGTTTCCTGCTGAATGCTCTTATCCATGTCTATAGTGGAAGAGACAGACAGACAGACAGACAGACAGAGAGATGAGATGAGATAGAGGGGGCAGGCAAAAGTAAATGAACAAATGTGTGGGTTAGTGCAGCAGAAAAAAAAAGTTAAAGTTGCAGTAAAGACAAGTGAGTAGCATCATTAGAGATAAATCTTCTACTCTGCACTGGGAAAATAGGAAGGTAACCTAAGGGTAAAACTCTACCCATCTATGGTTCCAACTTGCAAAAGTCTAAATTCATTTAAAAGCCAAGAGCCTTAACTGAGATGGATTCCCTATTCAAACTGAACTTATCTAGCAAAATGTCTTCCCAGGATCAGGCTGTAAGGTACACTGAGTCCATACAACTGTAGTCCAAGAGGACTAATCTACCTCTCACACTATCAGCAGTGGTACTTGTTTCATAGACAAAATAGATACAAGAGCTAGGGTTCATCGAGGCTTATACAAAGCCTCAAGAAGTCTGTTAAGGCCAACCAATGTGAGGCAAGATAAAATTTCCTATGAGGAAGCCATACAAGGTCACTGTTTGAAAACTATAAAGATGAAGCCTGAGCTGCAATAAACATCATTGGATGTTAGAAATGCCAAGATCGTGGGACACCACTAAGGAAAGTCACAGCCCTGTATGCAGTAGAGGCAGCTCAAGAGTGAGGCTATGTGTGCTTCAGGTGGCAGCACGGGAAAGGCTGGGCTACCCAAGCTCTTTCAAGCCCATATGATTCATTCCATCATGAGCCCCATACGCCTGATAGAAAGCTCCAAGAGTTATGTTTTCCCTGCCAGACTTACATCCTGCTTTGACCCAGTTTTTCCTGGCTATGTCCCCATTTCTCCCTTCTGGAATGGGAATGTTTACTCTGTTCCATTAAAGATTGTAAGTATGTAACCTGTTTTGCTTTGTTTTTATTATAGAGGCTCAGAGTTAAAAGACTGCCTGAGTCTCAGAAGAGAATTCTCCACTGACATTTTGAACAATGTTAGAACTTTAAAGACTATGGGGGCTCTTGGAAATGAACTAAAAGTATTTTGCATTATGGGATGATCCTGAGCCTATGAGGACAAAAAGAGTGGAAGTTTATAGTTTAAAAGTCCAGGACTAGGGGTATAGCTCAGTGGCTAAAGTACTTACCATGCAAGCCTGAGGACTGGACTTGAAACACCCATAACTCATGTGCATGCCAGGTGGGTGTGGCAGCTTGCCTGTAATTGCAGCACCTGGAAGGCAGAGACAGAGGAACTCAGGAGCAAGCTAGCTAGCTACACTAGTCACATCAGTGAGTGTTCGTATGTCAAGGTGACAGGGGATGGTCTCATGATGGTTAGCACCCACTGCTAATTTGACAAGACCTAGAATCACCTGGGACACAGGTCTCTCAGCATGTCTGTAAGGGACTTTCTAGATTAGGATGACTGAGGTGGTGAGGCCCACCCTAAATGTGGGTGCTACTATTCTACAGACTAGTGTCTGGGCTGAATGAAAAGGAGACAGCCGAGCATCTGCACTCATCTCTCCCTGCTTTCTGACTATGGACACTGTGTGACTGCTTGCTTTCTGCTCCCGATACTATGCCTTCATTGCCATGATAGACTGTGAGTCAAAATAAACCCTTCCTTTCTTAAGTTGCTTTAGTAGGCTATTTTGTCTCAGCAATGAGAAAGGTAACTAGTACACCTATGAAGGCATTTTAACTCCTGTCCAACATGAAGTAAATCATAAAAATTCCCCTGACATCCATAGTCAGGATATAACCATTTTAATTTACATAATTAATATGTTAAGTCAAACTTTTATTGATGTGCCACATAACTGAGAAAAATAGCAAAATAAAGGGAAGGGTTTCTTGTAGTGCAAGAGTTTCAGAGCCCATAGTTGGCTGGAATCAATTGTTTCTCTGTCTGTACTAAGGCAAAAGCTTCATGATCAGAGACTTTGGTGAAGCACAACTGCTCAACTCAACGCAGCCAGAACAACAATGAATTTGCCTATGCTAGTGGGCTTCTTCTTCGCTTTAATTCTATACAGACCCCCAGCCCACTGGATAGGTCTTTCTACACTGAGATTAGTTAATCCTCTCTTGAAATGCCCCCCCCCAGGAAAGCTCAGAATCATTCTTTACTAATGTCCTAGGTATTTCTCAAGACAGTCAAGTTGAAAAAAAAATCAAAGAATTTACATTACAATTAATTCAGAAATTTTAGGCAGGGATGTCAAGCTATATACTATATTTGAGGTGACTTTTCTTGCATTTCACTTTCCTTTGAACATCAGACTACTACTTGGGGTGAAGTTTCTTCTGAGCCTGCATTAATTACTCTTCTTTTGGCTCTAATCAAATCTCTGACAAGAAGACCCTTCCAGGAGGAGGGGGTTTACTTTGCCTTCTGGTTCAAGGAGATACGGTCCACTGTGGCAGGGAAGGCTTGGCAGTAGGGCTGTGAATTGGCTATTCACATTGCCCCTGCAATGAAGCAGCACGCAGAAGACAGGAATGAGCCCCAAGGTCCACCCCCACCAAGCCACTTGTTTCATCAAGACTCTGTGTAATAAAGGTTTCACAAAGTTCCAAACCTGCTGTGGAATAATCCTTTTGTACATTATGAAAATGTGTTGCTCTCATTGTTAATAAAAAGCTTACTGGCTAGTAGCTAGGCAGGATTTTCAGGGCAAAGAGAATGCTGGGAAGAAGAAGGGCAGAGTCTGGGGAGTCTCAAGCCAGACGTGGAAGAAGAAATATGGGAAGTTCATAGATGAGGTAAACGAGCCTTGGGGCAGCACATAGATGAATAGAAATGGGTTAATTTAAGCTGTAAGAGCTGGCTAGAGACAAGCCTAAGCTATCAGTCAAGCATTTGTAATTAATAATAAGTTTCTGTGTGGTTATGTGGGAGTGACTGCCAGGACACAGAGAAACTCTACCTACACAAACCACCAGCACCAACTAGAGACCAAGTGTTTTGATATATAAGCTCATGGAGGACATTTCACATTCACACTGCAACAGAGCCTAATTGGTAATGTTAAAGAATAAGGCATTACTGAATGTTATTTCAACAAATTCATACTATAGCCTACATTCAAATACTTGTACATATAGGCAAATAAAGAATGCACAGGAACACACATATCTATATCCCTGGATTTTTCTTTTTTAACTACTGCACACCTTTGAAAGCATGGCACATACAGTTAGCAAGAAGACAGGGCAAAATGAGGAATAAAGGTGGATAGAAGAAAGCAGGGTTTACAAAGGGAGATGTTAGAATGTCACCGGCAAGTGAACAGTCTCTTGAGGATAACTGGCCTCTGCTCCCCACAGGAAGTGGAAGGCTTCCCTTTATACTTCTCTCTACACCAAATTACTCACCTTTCTCTCTAGACAATAAACTCGAGGTACTAGCAGGTCCCATAGCTTTTCTTTTCCTCAGAGTATTCGTCCAGGAAAATCAAGACCACCACTATAATCCGAAACAAAGAAAATGACATAATGGCTCTCTACAACTTATTTTTTGTGCCTCTGGTAAAAGGAAAATTCTAAGACTATAGATTCAAACACTGTAGTTTAGAGAGTTAAGAAACCAAAATGCAAAGCCAGGTATGGTAGTACATGCCTTCAATCCTTGTGCATGGGATGAAGAGGCAGGCAGATCTCTGTGAATGACGCCAGCCAAGCCTACAAAATGAGACTATCCCAGCAGAGAAGGAAGAAAGGGAGGCAGAGAAGGAGGCCTAGGCCCTGGTTTCATTTCTAGCTAGACGTAAGATTCTTCACCTTTTAGGATTATATTATTTTCAACATGGCTGAGGCAATGCCAGCCCAAGTATCATTCTTTAAGAACAATGGCTCAGTCTGTTTAGTCAGAGTTCTCCAAAGAAACAGAACTGATATGACTAATATATTCATATATTTAATATATATTTAAGGCATAATAAAAGTAGATTAGTGTGGCTTAGAAGCTGTGATCTGGCTAGTCTAACATTGATTGTCTCCCTGATGGAAAAGCCAAGAATCCAGCAGCTGCTCAGTTCATGAGACTAGACATGCCAGCAGTCCTGATCTGGTGCTAGAATCCCAGGGAATTCCTACAGAGCTGCTGGTCTTTAGTCTATGTTAGGACCCCAAAGAAGTAGGTTCGAACACCAATGAAGGAATGTCTGTCTCAGCAGCAGGACAAACGAACTTGCCATTGAGAGTGAGGGCAAGCAGGCAAAAAGCAAGTTCCCTTCTTCCATGTCCTTTTTTTGGGGGGCTGCCACCAGATGGCACAGCCCAGATTTAGAGTGGGTGGCCTTCACATGTGGGCCCAGCTCCTTGGGTTTTAGTTCATTCCAGATGTAGTCAAGTTGACAAGCAAGATAAGCCATCACACAGTCCTAGCTACACATTGCTTTCATAGTAGCTTCTAAAACTTAATTTTCTTTGCAATACAACTTGGTACCTTCTACTATACTTGATAATGTACTTATATATTGTTTTCTATCATCTTTCCCAGCTAAACTGAACTATTGGGTTCAACTTTTTTGGCTCTGGCCATAAACCTTCCAATTCTACACACCAAAAGGTGGTGCTTATTTTCGAAGCAAAGCCAGCTAGTCCACTGGTCCAAGGGAGATTAGAAATACGTGAAGCATAGCCATTGTAGCTTGATTGTGGTACTGCCACAAAAAAGCAGAGAGTGCCACCTCAGTTTGAATCAGAGGTGTCCAAGAGAATACTCCTAACCAGCTAGGTCTCAGCGGGCCTCCAAATCTGTGAGAACAAGCGCACACTAAACATTCAGAAATGTTGTGGGCTTTGTAAGGCATCCATAGCTCCTGCTTGAATAGAAATGCCTAGAGACCATTTGGAATGGAACAGACACTCGTTTAGCATCTATTGACTAAACTAAATGACTAGCTTTAAAAAAGAATACCGTAATTGGACCACACTTCTGATAAATCAGAATCTTTGATGAGGTTCACCACTATTTTGTTTAAAGCTCACTAGGTGAGTTTAATACACGGTCAAGGAAGAGAACTGCTGTTGTAGATTGTGTGGGTTTTGCTATGGGAGAATGTATCAAAAAAATATAGGTTTTAGAATCCAGCAAATATATTCAAGCTCAACTGTTCCATTTACTAAAATGTGTATGTGTCAACCATGTCATGAATTAATACATTTAAGCTCAAACTCATCATTTAATTACAGACAACAGTACTTTGCTTGTAAGGTTATTATAAAGACTAAATGAGATAATGCCTAAAGTATTAAGCACAGTATGTGGTACACAGGGAAGGTTTAAAATCTTTTTTTTGTTGTTGTTCTTGTTTTTGTTTTTGTTTTGTTTTTTTTTTTTATTTTCGAGACAGGGTTTCTCTGTGTAGCTTTGCGCCTTTCCTGGAACTCACTTGGTAGTCCAGGCTGGCCTCAAACTCACAGAGATCCACCTGGCTCTGCCTCCCAAGTGCTGGGATTAAAGGCGTGCGCCACCACTGCTGGGCCAAAAATCTTAACCTATACCTATTGTTTGTAGTGTATCACACTTACATGAAATCTATGTCTTTGAACTCAAACTTTAAGTCCTATTTGAACTCTTTCAAGTAATAACACCTTGGGTAAATTAAACTCTCTCAAGACTCCAGGAGCCGGGCAGTGGTGGTGCACGTCTTTAATCCCAGCACTCAGGAGACAGAGCCAGGCAGATCTCTGTGAGTTCGAGGCCAGCCTGGTCTACAGAGTGAGATCCAAGACATACACCAAAAATACACAGAGAAACCCTGTCTCAAAAAACAAACAAACAAACAAACAAACAAAGACTCTGGGAACACATGTATAAAATAAAAGCCAGGCATAGTGGCACATGTCTCTAATTCCAGCACTTGGGAGGCAGAGGCAGGCAGATCTCTGTGAGTTCGAGGCCAGCCTGGTCTACAAAGTGAGTTCCAGGACAGCCAGGACTGTTGCAGAGAAACCCTGCCTCTAAAAAATATCTACGTAATTAATTTGTTGTGAAGAGTAAATAAAATGGCACTCATGAAACACATAGCATGGGACAGGTACAACACAAATGATAAACTTTAGAGAAGAAAGTATGGTGTTTATTATAACGTTGGCAAAAAGAGGCTATATCCCATTAAAACTTACACGTAACAATTTTATTCCTAGGAAATGGGATGTTTCCAGCAGTGTTTGAGTTCTACATCTTCAAGTTCTTTTTCAGTCTCCAGGTCTGTCTAATTCCTCCTTGAGACAGGATCAACCCTCAAATTACTGCAAAAGCAGTACATGCCTGCTGGAGAGAGACATCATCTCTCACTTTCTTCCAAAGAAGGCTAAATTATGTCCGTTAATTCAGTTATGCTTATGGCTCTTTATTCTTTAATCCCAGTCCAACCCTTTCTGAGATCTTGATGGACATATTTAACGGTTTACTCAACATTTTCATTCACAGATGTTTATACTTCCTTTAGTTGCTATTCATTTATTCCTTAGCAATTTTTCACTGACCTTTTATACTAACAAGGAATCTCAAACAGTCCTTGGGATGAGTATTCCATCCTTAAATTTAAAAAAAAAATATTTTATGTGTGTAAGTGTTTTGCCTGTGCATGCATGCCTGGTACCTGCGGGGTCCAGAACAGGGCATTAGATAGCCTGGATCTGGACTCACAGACAGCTGTAACCTGCCATGTAGGGACGGGGAATCAACCTCAGGAAGCAGTTCCCTTAGCCGCTTCTTGGCCACCTCTTCAGCATATCATTTTTTTTTTTGAGACAAGGTTTTTCTGAGTAGCCCTGGCTGGCCTGGAACTCACAGAGATCTGCCTACCTGCCTCTTTCTCCTGAATGCTGGGATTAAAGATGTACGCCACTACTGCCCAGCTCCATCCTTAAATTTTTAATCCTGATTGAAGATACTAGAGACAGAGGTTCTTGCCCCCCCCCCACACACACACACGCCCAAATGCCTAAAGCTCTTTGGTTCCTGGCTTTTTTTTTTCCAAAACAGGGTTTCTCTGTTTAGACCTGGCTGTCCTAGAACTCGCCCTGTAGATCATTGTAGGCTGACCTCAAACTCAGAGGTCTGCCTGCCTCTGCCTCCTGAATGGGTTCCTGATTTCTGAAGGCCTTGTTTTCCAAGTATCATCATTCTGAATTTGAACAACTCCAGTGTGCTTCCACGTAGTCTGACTTTTGCTTGCATTATCAAAATCAATTTCTGCAACTTACAATGAAATAATTCTGATTCAAAACATATGCTACAGATTGAATTAAAGTCAAGATACCTCTGGGGAGTTGTGTAGAAAGCATTTATAGCTAGTTACTAATCTACATTAGAATAAAGGCAGTGGAATGGCCAAAATTCCAGGATAGGAAATAACATGTATTTCACCAGATCCCCAGGAGCATATGGAATCTCTGTGCAAAATACTAAAAGGTCCAAGAAGACAAATTACATACACTACACTGTGTCCCTCTGAGCAGTTAATTTATAAAATGGTAAAATGTCATATACAAATTTCCATAGCAACAAGAAACGCGGGCAACTAGAGCACACAGAGTAAGACTAGTATAATCTAGATACCCAAACTGACAAATATAAGGAGATGAGCTAACAGGCCCACCTCTCTTATGAACCTAAATATACAAGTATAGAACATTGCTATGAAGATTGGATAAGTACAAGAAAACATTTTTCATAGCTAGCAATTTGGTTTTTGTTTTTTGGTGAGTTTTTTGTTTCTTGGGGTGTGTGTGTATGTGTGTGTGTGTGTGTGTGTGTGTGTGTGTGTGTGTGTGTGTGTGTGCATGCACTTTTAGACAAGGTCTTACTATGTAACCCTAGATAGCCTGCAACTCACCACAGAGATAAGGCTGGGCTCCAATTCACAGAAATCCACCTGCCTCTGTCTTCCAAGTGCTAGGATTAAAAGCATGTGCCACTACATCTGGCAACATCTGGCAATTTGGATAGGCCAGTTCTCAGCATTCCTAGATCCTTTCTGCTAAATACTAATAAAATGGTCCATAGAGATATACACATATTCAATTAACTGTGAAAATGAAAAGCACCTGCAGACATTTCCAAAGGCCCTCTAGAGAAGTAGTTTTCCCTCAGATTAAGAATCATGTTATAGGCAATCACACGTACAAACACAGAAATAGAATATGCTAAATAAAATAGTAGTCACTCAGATACTATGGTATATTTATAAGAATGCATGCTAGGTCTCTGAGTCATCTAGCCTGTGGGTCCTGGTGCCTCCAGGCAGTATCAGAGGTGGGCTTACTCTCCTGGTATAGGTTGTAGGAGGTGGCCAGTCCTTCAATCTCAAGCACGACTGGTGGGAAAAAATATCAATGTAATGATGCCTAATGACACTCTGCTATACTCATGGATTGGTGCCTGGCCAATTGTCATGACAGAGGCTTCATCTAGCAACTGATAGAAATAGATGCAGACCCACAGCCAAACAC